CATCTGCGAACGAGCTCCAGCGAAACTCAAATGCTTTTTCTAGAGAAGACAATATTTCACAAATATTGACTGTTTGACAGAGATTCATCGCGTTTACATTTGACTTTTGTGGCCTTTTGTCTTTTGTCTGTCATTCGTAAACAATAGCTAAAACAGTGTAACTGCTCCCTCGACCAATCCGGGCTTCTGACCGGATTCCGGACAGATTTTACGTCATCAGTATGGAATTTCTGTCGCTGAGTCGCAGAAGTTCCTCCGCGCGAAACGTCCCCAGCGGCAAAGAGCGAGATGAAACGGCTGTTTTCGTAGGCTACCTATTGTAACAGAGGACGTGATTATTAACCGTACAACGACCCCTACATCTGCATTTAATAGTGTAAACAGTTCTGTCACCAACTAACTTATCTCTGTAATTGCCGCGGTATAATTTCGCCTGTCACGTATAGTTTGTTGTGTAATTTACCTGAAGAACATTTTTAGAAGAAAACTGAGGTCAGCTGCAGAATTTTGTACCCTTTCATTTAACAGGCGCTATGAAATTCTGCCGGGTCATTGATCGAGGGTTGAGTGATTCTGTGATTGACCTTTTAAACACTTCATTATCCCTTATCCTGTGTGCCTAGATTTCTCGTATTTTTAAAGCATATCAGTAAGTTTCAAATAAATTCGCGCATTAACGTTTCACTTAACTTCAGTTCAGTACTTATTTTGCTTCGCTTGTTTAAATATTCAGAGCGGCGACGTAACAAGGAGTGTGTGACAGATGTTTTTAAAGTTCCTAACATTTAGCGTGGTTTAAACTTCCACACTCCAGGCACACGAGAACGTGTTATTTCAAATGTTCTATGACCAAATAAACTAAACACCGGTATCTGGGAATATTAAACGGGAACTTTATTCTACTAGAACAACTAAATGAATAAATAAAACTTCATCAGTTGGCTTAAAAGAGTTGTCGTATACACCGTAATTGTCGAGGATTTAAAGACCCTTTTTAAAAAAGCTTTAAACCCATGAGAGACTATTTCAATTGGTCATCGCGTCGATTCAGGAATTTCATAATTTGTCGTAATTTAAGCGTTGTGCGCTTTTTTTGGCACTGTACTCAATTCGGCACTTTATATGGCCCGTCTGCGAAAATGTTCCTGTTATTTACTAGGCCAACATCGCTAATCTGGTCCTTTTTTCCTTTGAAATTACGCTATCCAGCTTTATATAGCATTTACAGTTCTGGAGCACTTTTCATTGCCGCTTGCAATCATAACTACACGCTGTTTCTCTTCAATTCTGCGGCCAGTTAAGAATGTTATGTTGTCATAGTCCATACGCCCACCCATGAGTTGTTCGATGAACCAAAGGTGAGTGCGCCTTTATTTCTTTGGGCATTGATTTTCCAACTTTCTTGGTATAGTCTCCCCACCGAAGGACTGTTAGGCTGAGAAAACAGCTGACATTTTGCAAAGCTACCACTGGCTTTCCAACGAAATGACGTCAGAGGAACGAGCGCAGAAATTCCATACTGACGACGTGTAACTACCCAGAGCTAGCTATTGCTTCCGATTTGCCGTATCGCGAGGGAAATTTGCTTCGGCCTATTAGAAACACTACCCAGATCTGGGTAGTGACACGTCATCAGTAAGTAAGTTTTTCAGTTGTTCGTCAGAAGTCATTTCGCGGGGAAACCAGTGATGACGCTGCATGTGAGGTGTCAGCTGTTTTCTCAGATTAAAGGATTGTTAAAAACAGACATATTCACTATTGTATCTAACGCCCTAAAGAACAATGTAGCCGTAAATTGACTCCCCTAGGAATCCCACGTGCGCCTAGCCCTTATTTGCATTTTTTTGTTTTTAACTTAAATCGCCTTCTAGCATTTTCAGTTCAGCTTTTATTTCAACGTTGCTTCTTCAAGAGCACTAAGTAGTAGTTTCCTGTCAGGAGTATCTCTTTTG